GATGCTGTAGATTAAGTTGAGGGATGAATTCTTTGAAGATTTGGGGGGAAAATATCCACAAGTTACCTTTGAGCGATATAAAGGGGAAAAACTTAGAAAAAAAGAAGAGGAGGAGAAAAAATTGGATATGAGAAAGGAGCGAAACAGAAAAGAGGGGGGGATAAAATTAAAAACCGAGGGACCAGCTTATTTTGAGGAAAAAGAAGCAAACCAGGAATGAGAGAAAAGAGCTGAGAGGTGAAAAAATGACTAAAATAAATGATCGGCCGAAAGGGGGAAAGAAAAGGACGTTCTAATGCAAATAGAAGATTTGCATTAAAGCATGCCACTAAATTGATGGAGATTGAAAACGAGAGTGATTCAATTCCACAATTTAGGGGTTAGGTTGAGATGGGGACAATGAGAAATTTTGGAATATTAAACGAGATAATTGAATAATACGTTCTAATAGGCACAGAAGGTGCTTATTAAAGCAAGTCGGCTAATTGCATGAAACCTTCACTATCGGAATAGTGAACGTGGCATGCAATTGGAGGAGTGTACTTTTTTGGGATAGCCCAAAAGCAGGACAGGCGATACACCTGTGGTGAAGAGTGAGTGAGTAAACCTGTAAAGAGAAAGAATATTAGCACGAAGGGTGATGAGGCAGCGCTTGGGGCGTACCTTTCATCACTAAGCTGCAAATGATGGAAAGTGCCAGACTGAACGCAGAAAGCCGGAATAAGATAACGTCAGTTTTCTTCGTAGAGTAGGCAGGAACCAGGTGAGAGCTTCGCTTCGTGGACTTGCAAACGGCGGGAAAGAGTCCTTTACTTCTTCCAACGGTAGAGATCCAAGATCCTTGTCCTTGCGTAGAAAATCCGAGTCGGCAGGAGAGTCAGGCAGGGCTTCTTACTTCGAGGTGAGCTGCTTCCGTGGAGGAGACCGTCTTCTTCGGAGTGCTGGATACAAGTGATTCCAAGGGGCAAGCGGCTGACGTCTTGAGCGCCGCGCAAGAGCCAAAAGGAACCGAGCGGGGACGGCCGCTAGGTGGGGGGCTCCAGGGGGAGCGGATCTGTGTTTGCCGTGGACTTTGAAAGTTGGATTTGAAAGTTGAGATTTGAAATTTATTGGTCGATAAAGGTTTGAGCAGGTCGGGCTTAATGAGTACTTCCAGAATATATATAGGTTTTGGGGTCCATCAGAGAACCGAAGCTAAAGAAAGTGAAAAATTTGGAAAATTTGCATGTGGATGGGACTCTAGGTAGCGAAGAAATATGGATGTAATGGAGATAAATTTGAAGATAATTATGAAGGAAAGGTTGGAAACACAAAAAGGGTGTTCAAGACGAGTGATTCAATGGTTAGGAAGAGCACTTTCAATTTAATAGAAGGTAAAGGACACCTTTAAAGACGCACTAATCGGGGAGGCGGGTCAAGGTGTGCAAATTTGGAATAATTAATTAGTTGAGAGGACCCTCAAGAGTGAGGGGGGGGGGTAAAAAATGAGTATGATGAAATTTCCTAAAATTGCTCTAAGTTTGTTCGATCGGGATCGAACAACCTTGGAAATTTGTATTTTATCTAAGAAAGTTTGGCAACATCTGAAGGCTCAAACGGCGTTTTTCCTTGGCATGGCAGTGTTCCTTGCGAGATCCAAGGATTTTCCCGGCGAGTTTCCCGAAGACGATACCGGGCTTATGTTCAACTGGCAACTAGAGAATGGCATGGATATTGCCAAGTCGTGTTAAAATCCTTGTTTTTTTTCTTGAAAAGCCCCATTGGTTGCAAATTTGTAGGTCAAATGTGTGCAGATTTAATGTCGTAGGTCGTATCGATGGTGAAACTACCAAACCACGTATCTCGGTTTGCGACGTCGCAGACTTCCTGTCATACTTTATTTTTTAAATGAAAAACTACTTAACGTCCAGTCTTGAAAATTTCTGTGATTTTTCCTCTTCGTGCGGAGAAAATTCTGTGAAAATTTCAAGGAATGATATTGATTTGGTCTACTTCAAAAAAATAAAATGCGAGCGTAGATTTTTAAACACCGCAAACGAGATACGTGGTTTGGTAGTTTCACCGTCGATATGTGACGCATACAGGAAGTAAAATTTGCGACATTATTGGAGGTAGAACACTAAGAAACCTGAACGTGTGCAGTAACGCCATTTCACCAAAACCTGGAGGGGGGGGGGGCGGCAAATGACCTGAAATGATCCCAAAGTGAAGGAAGAAATCAAGTTTTCAGCAATTCGATCAATTTGTTCGAATCAAAGTTTTCCGAGTATGAGAAAAATATCCGACTATTTTAAAATATGATCTGTAGAATTTGTGGCGCTGAGTGAGCATCGATCGTAAGATTCCCTGATACCTCATATAATACAATTATTTAATCGTTTAATTAAACTTTGAGCGCGTAAAAACCCAACGAATTATCGAATTTGAAGAATATAGTATTTGCGAATTCGGTATCCGGATTCTTCATCCGCGGATTCGCTTATCCGCGGATGAGTGGACGGAAAAGTTATCAAAATTCGCCATCCTCATGATCGGAGGCCGAAGGGTCTTTGAAGTCTTTTTGATATTGGGATTTTTAGTATGAAGTTTACTCGCATACTTTATATGCACTTCGAAGACAATTGGTAAATTATGACTGCCCGTGGAGAAAAGGGCCTCAGTCCACGAAGACAAATTTCTCAGTGGCTGTGTGACTCTATCACAATACGTATACTCGCGTGTTTGTGAGGCTCTGTGACTGTAGGTGAAAACGGCAACCGCGTGGAAAGTCTTCGACCGTTATTAAATTTCTTCTTGGTCCCGATATATTTCATTATTACCCTCGATGAAATCCCTCGCGACACGTCCAGGGTGGCGCCGGGCGATGGGTTCGGCTGGAGACTGAAGGGCCATTGTCGCGGCGCGGCGGCTCTAAGGGACTTTTGACTGTCGGACTTTTAAGCGTTTAAGCCCGGCTTAAAAGTGTTTTATAGGCAAGTCGCCGATGGACGGAAGCATTCCTCTGTCGCAGATGTCTCATAGTTTCAAATACGCTTTAAGGATTGCTTCCCACCTGGGAACGTAAATAAATTGATTTCTTCGGCACGACTTAACACCACTCTTGATCTCAAGAAGCATTTTGTTACTGAGATGTTGTATTGAATTCCAATACAACATACATTGCTGTGGTGTATTGTATTGTAATATTGGGCCGCGTTAAGCAGAGAGGAACCGAGCCACATCAGCTATTCCCGAGTTCAACTGGGGGATTCAATTTTTTACATGAAAACGTTTGTGCGGATTTCTTTAAACATTTTGAAGAATTTGCTTCTTATTATGTAGAAAATTCACAAAAATTTGCACAAAAATTCGCATGATCGTTTTAATGTAAAAAATTAAATTGGATACAGCTTAAGAGCTCCCAGAAACCGTGCAGGTATTACAAGGTGTTGGAGTCACTTTTGTAGGTGATGTGAGAGGTTTTTAAGAGGAACGGTCTGCTCTGAATTGCAGGTGTTGTCTTAAAATTGTGCAGTTTCTCACATAGACACATCTACATCCCAAAATCCTCGCCCAAAAACATGGCGTGTAACGTGATACACCGCGGTGGTGGGTACCATGATTTCTTTTCCCTTGTTTGCATCGGTGCGTTAAGTCTGTTAAGTCCAGCAACCAGTATAAGTACTAATAATGCGTCGTCCTACTGACGAAAGGGCGTAACTACCCATTGAGATGAGCCTGGCAATGCATTGAATTGTATGGATGAAAGGGTTCATTGCAGAGTGTAGTTACGCCCTTAGGTACGTCAGGAGGGCGACGAACTGATGAATCCGATTCGGAAGAAACCATGGAATGTATTCGGTGCGATGGATGATTTACTTAGTACACCGTGTTATGTGAGAGGTTGAATATATCCGTGAGCATTGGACGTAGAAACTAAGCGTTAGAACGAATCTTTTTTTTCTACTTATCAATCTATTATATCAATTATCATATGATATCATATATCATATCAATTTATCAATCTAAACCACTTAAACGCAACTCTGTGACTGGCACAACTGACTCATCGAGTAACAAAAAATTGCGCATAGTTTTCCCTATTGAGAAGTATTTTTATTGAACGCTCTGGAGTCTGGAGGCACTTCAGCAGCTTGATCATTTACTTCGCTAGATACGGGTAGTGGATGCGGGATATTTATCTATTGGTGATCTATCGCTCCGTAAGCTGCCGACCATTTACCTCGTATCTAGTGCGGTAGATGAGCTCTAGATGGATAAGTATATCTAGAGGTACGATGGATACGGATCGCGGTGTTTCACGATCTAACTGAAAATAATTTTTTCTTTTCAACCAATCACAGCTCATCCTTCCATCCCCGAAGAAGAAGAAGTGACTTTGCGCGTTGCTTTGCGCGCGTGAATGTGAACAGCATAACCTCAAATGTACGGAAAATTAGGAGCACGATTTTCTAACGAGCGCGATTTCCGTAGTTTATCGTGATTTCCGCGGGAAATACAAAAATATATCGTCTTATTTCAATTCATACTATATTAATTTATTTCTTTTTAAAATGGAATTTCAAAATTGTATTTTGAGGTTATATTTCACCAAAAGAATAATTTTGACTTATAAACGTGTAAAACAAATTAATTTATTCTTTAAATGTATTATTTTAAGTTTTGTTCTTTTTTTCAAATAATTATCAAAGTGTAATATTTATACGGTTTGCGAGTATGTTCGTAATGAAATTAATACTCGTGCCAGTTTTAAAAATATTAACTTGAACTTAATCAGCAGAAACAACCAGTTTTCTACAATAAAATCGATCACCTAACCTCAAATATCGATAGATACAGAGTTATCCACCACCTCCGGTGTGGGGGATAAATATCTAGTGCCGTATCTAGAGGCGTATCTACCGGGCTAAGTCTATGGTCGCTACGAAATGAATCCGATAGAAGCGCGGCGCGTATCCATCAAGGTCAATAGATATCAAAAGTAAATGATCATGCTGCAGTGGTTTACAGTACGAGCGTGTTTCTTGAGTTATTATATCCTCACCGTAAATAATTTGAGAGAGGTCAAGATTTTAAATTAAGATACTTTGGAACAGACAAATTTCGTAATTTTAATCTTTTTTGTGCGAAACTAACGAAGACAAATTAGGTACCAGCACGAAAGCTACTTAACGGAACGCTCATCTTAGGTGCCATGTGAAAATAACGAATATTTCATTCAAAATACGTTCCACTTCCGGTTTTTCAGAATTTCGTACTCTCCCTCTCTTGAATATCGCTGTGATCTCTTCATAAACTTAATTAACACTTCTCTTAGCCTCGCGACCTGTTATGGGAGTAGCGGAAAGAATAAGGTAAACTTTTCTTTTTCTTTGAGCGCGGTTTGCAAGTGATTCATGGCCGAACCAATTTCTCAGTTCGTGACCCCTGACCTCGTCGCTGCAGCTGGCCAATCTTCATTCTGAATCTTTAACGATTAAATAATTTACAAGCTCTATTACTCTCTCGACACTTGGCAGTTTACATGAGGCTGCAAACGATGAATATGAATGGAGCTTTTCCTCCTTAAGTCATCACATCCACCTACCACATTACAATTTCTACATGTAATGGGCCAGTTGCGCTAGGAACAGAATCGTGTTTTCATGCTTGATTCTTGTACGTTAGCTAAAAATAAGAAGATCTGTCCAAACAGCAACTTTCTACGTTCAATATTAACCGAGATATTGTCCTTTGAAAAGTCCTGTTTTTGACGTCATCCACCGCGGTAGTGCATAAGATGGATAACCGCGGTGGGTGACGTCATAAATCGAGTTTTTCAAAGCGCGATATCTCGGCCTAGAAAGTTGCTGTTTGGGACAGTATTTTTAGTTGATCTGCAAGAATAAAGCATGAAAACACGATTCTGTGACCAGCACAACTGAACCATTGAATCAGTTTTTTCGACCCGACACAACAAAACTCCTTTCTTGAAATGTTTACCCCCATAAACCACGGCCTCCCTCCTTATAAGCGGTCACCATTGAACAGCTTTCAGCAGAGAGGGAACAATTCATTTCAGTGTTTTCATTGTCGGGCAACTTTTCCTCTTTTCGGAAAACGCCCCGAAGTTTGAATAGTTCTTATTCTGCTTCCACTGAAAAATTGTCAGTTTTAAGCTCATCAAATTATTTAAAATTGGTTATTGCGTGCATTCAGTTTTCTTAACAAAAAAAACGAAATTGCACAATTTTGAAAAACCCGCAATGATGGACTCGGTTTTTTTCTGCTGAACAATGTCCAAATAGTTTTCCGGCGAGGATGAAGTCTATAAAAATGCTACCTCAGGATTGATGGCATGTTAATTATGTCACTCAAATAGTTCAGGTAGACCAGAGCCACGGTTTAGGGGTAAAACTGTACGTTTGCAAAGTCCGCAATAATAAATCTCACTTTGAGGGAAGGGGAAAAGAATGTAAGGAACTCCGAGAGAGGTCACGAAAGTAGAGACACCCCCAACTCTCACTGCAATCGAGGAAGAAAATAAAGGTTTGTAACGGCCTCAGCCCGGGAGGAAGCACCGCGGAAACGCCGTGGGGTAAAGGCAAGATTGCCAATCAAAAATTAATGCGCTCCGTCAGTCCGCGGAAAACGCCCGGGGAAAAGGTGAGAGACAATTTAAAACAGTCTATTTCCTTCATTTACAGAGGAAGCAGTTTGAAAGACTTGCGGGGCTTAGATTCATTGACGTTGGGTTTAGCCCTTCTCTATCTCTAATTGCCTCGACCGGCCGGTGGTGCGAGCAAGTATGTCTCCTTAAATTAAGTGAATGGACATTTTAATGACACGCTTTTAAACAGAAAGAACTCATTTGCGTGGGCAGTTTTAGAAAAAAGAAATGTGGAGCCGTCATTGGGGACAGGGGCGTTAGCTCGCAAAAACTCAAAATTAAATTGTTAATATTAAGAAGCAGATGGGATAAGCTACACTGGAAAAAAAACACATTGGATCTAGAGTTCAGACTCTCAAAAACATCGACAAGAAAAAGTACTCTTGATTCAATCAGAATCTAGCTTAAATCAAGAACCAAGCCTCTTAATTTAAGCGGTTTTCGTTTTGATTCAAGCAAAAATCCGATTGAATCAAGAGTACTTTTTCTTGTCAATGTTTTCAAGAGTCTGGACTCTAGATTCAATGTGGGTTTTTTTCCAGTGTACGTAATATCATTGCGGGACAAGGTGCGCCCAAGAATGTCAACTCAATCGGATTTTTAGTTTTTTGAAGTTTGAAGTTTGAAAAGTTAGTCTCTAGAAAATAAATTAAAACTTTAATCAGCCTTGTTTCGGTTGCAAAAATGTCGGATTGCGATATGATCTGTTGCATAGGAAAATAGATGTACCATATATTCAAGGCAAAAATTAATAACATAAAAATTAGAGACTTTTTCTCCCTGGAGATTAAACCTTTCAGTATTCGTTTGAGAAATGCATGATTTATAGCCCCCCTCCCTTTTTTTTTCTTTGTTAATACTTAATCATTGCTGCCCTGAAAACTAGGAAAGTGAGGATCCAGTATTCCTCGATACCACTACCTTCCTAGGAAAAGTAAGTGTTTGAGAAAGGTTGAATTCCCTCAGTTACTCTATTCCTTTCATGTTACGTTCATTCTTTCATTAATCATGCTTTGAAGAACTCGAGTCATCAATACGAACCAGAGGTCGTGGAAGATTTATGGAGTGTAGAAAGGAGAAAAACAACTCATAATGTAAGAAGAAACAGTGCGCGAGTTTGCGGATGGTGTAATAAATTTCTCGTCTCGTTGCAGAAATTAAATACTCCGACCCACCGCACCGTTGAAGAGTTAGTACATCTTTTAGCCTCCCTTTATTACTTCTGGAAGCCATCTAGATGGTCATATAGCCCAAAATATGAATCTCTCATTGTTAATTTGAACGCATTTATACTAAATAGAGCTGTGCTACACGCGAACCCTAAAGAATTGCTCATTTTAGCATGAATACGTCCATTTGTGATCGTGCTCGGAGGAAGTGATCTTAGTTCACGGAGGAATTCAACCTAACTCGAGGCATTGCTTTTCGTCAAATCAGGCCAAAAATCGGTATTAAGGTTTCCAAGAAGAGCTTTCTTGAGTTCTTTCAAGAGTACGGTGCGAGGAGTTTTTCATTGCGCCAAAAGATGGTGTACAGTTGCATTCTAGCCTTGTAATCTAGTGTCATGAACCGACAGAGAGACAATTTCATAGCTTTTTCACAAAACAACGTTTTCTGAGCTGCGCAAATGTCAAACCACCAGGTCTTTAATTCGACATTTTTTGGTGCTTTGTTTCAAAATGATCGTATAACTTTTTCTATGATCTTCGATTTTAAGTTTTTATGGATTATCCCTCTTCCCGTAAGTGGTTATCTATGTGTGAAAAAAACTAAGTCCGAATCCGTCTAATTACGTTTTATGTTGCCTAATCTTTACTTATGCCTTAATTTTTTAACCAAAAATCAAGTGTCACAGTGCCTTGAGCTTTTGTGTGATATCCTTTAGATTGTAAATAATATCCTCACGTAATTGCGAGGTTGGGGTCTGCTTGAATTTCTGTCAAAATATGAACACATCGGAACAAAATCAGGCAAGTTAAAATGATGCTGGTTTGACTCGAGAAAAATTTGTCCACTCACGTAATGCATACATGCAGTATCAGTGGCGTGGCGTGCTTTGCGATATATCGATTCTAATGCCTTTAAACCTATGGAAAAGGATAAATAAACAGGGTGTTCGCAGCGAACACCTTAATAATCGATTCTTTACCATAGGTTTAAATAGCATAACAATCGATACATCGCAATTCACGCCGCGCCACTGTGCAGTATGTTCAAAGATGTCACACTCGGAATAATCAAAATGGTAGACAATCGTCAAGAAAGTCTCATATTGTCTTCCCCTGATTTCTCCTTAATTTTAATTTTTCACGTGAATGTACCTGTGCAATTTGTATCTAAAATGTGTCTGCACTGAAAAAAAATTCTCGGCGTTTTTACCAAGGTCCGTTGGTACCTTTACCATTTCACTTTTTTTACCAATTATTGGTAATTTTACCACAAGACAGACTGGTAAGCTTACCTAAAAACCGGTATTTTTACTGTTTTTTCCAGGTAAGAATACCACTTTTATTGCCCGGTAACTTTGCCATTTTATCTCGGTAATGGGCCTGTTGCATGCAAGAGATACAGCCGCGCGAATAGACTTTTCAGAGGTTAAATGACACGAAAATTACGATGGTCACATTAAAAAAGTCTGAAATACACTCCTTACTGCGCAATTTACGTTGTTAGGAACGCGCTTTTTCAAATTTCCCGCGTCTGGGGGCAGTTTTCTAATCACCGGAAACGAGCAAACGGCGGGCTCGGTGATTTCCGGAAGATGTCGAGTCGTTGTTGTTGTTGTTATTTTCTCCTTCAGTTTGTTTACAAACCCAACGTGATCTTTTATAGTGGTCCATATACGCTTTATGCGGTAACCAAATTGATCAACTTTTAAATATCCAACGCAATTCTTCTACATTTCATTTCACGATATCACGAGCTCCGATTTTTAGGTTATGTTGTATGTTTTAGTTGACCGGAAATAGCCGCGAGTTGCCGTTCATTGTTTCCGTTAGAAAACTGCCCCCAGACGCGGGAAATTTGAAAAAGCGCGTTCCTAACAACGCAAATTGCGCAGTAAGGAGTGTATTTCAGACTTTTTTAATGTGAGCATCGTAATTTTCGTGTAATTTAACCACTAAAATGTCTATTTGCACGGCTGTCTCTCTTGCATGCAACAGGCCCATTCTACCACAGTCGATAAAAAATATTGGCGTTTTTACCGGGGTCCAGTAAAATTACCGAGAAAGTCAATAATTTTACCGAGATTTCTCGGTAAAATTACCAATTCCATAAATGCTAATTTTACCACGAAAAAACCGGGATCAAATAGAATCCTGAATTCTTGGTACTTTTACCCTTTTCTTAGTAAATACACCGATCTAGTTTTTTTTTTCAGTGTGATTTTTGCTCGAAATCAGAGGAAAAATCCGTGAAATTTTCAGTTAGAAGTACTTAAGATTCTTGAGGTAATAATGTCATTTGCAATGGGAAATTCGGCAACATTGAAATGCAGTTACGTTCTTTCGTGACGAAAACGACGACATAATCCAAGCCTGAGATTGAATCGTCTTGAATAGGTCAACCAATCGGGCTGCGCTGCGTGTTGAAGTCAGAGTGCGTGACTCGTAATCATATCGCGTGTCATTTCAATGATAAAATTCAAGTTTTGAGCACACCATCCGTCGATCGGTTAAGGCCCCTAATTTTCCTAATAAATTA